ATTTGCTCTCTTCAGGCTGGCCAGGACTGGAAGAGTGGAGACAAAGCAGCAATGTTGGGACTCTGAGATCAGGAAGAGGATGTTGTCGGGGAGGTGGGGGGGCGGGGGTGGGAAGAGGGGAGTTAGCACCTGGAACTTGGCCAGGGAAGTGCAGCAAGGTCCCCTAACAGGTTAACCAGGCATCCTTGTGCCTTTAGCTCAAACTCCTGCAAAGTCACCAGAATGCCCTAGTTGGAGTCACTACTGAGCACCTGGACCCCAGGGCCTGGCCAGGGGACATTGCCAGGGTGAGGAGGGCTGGGAGCCCCCATGGAGCTACAAGAAGAGGTGTGAGGGAAAGAAGATCTATGCCTAAGGTCTGCTGCTCTGTTCACCTTGTCCTGATTTTCTGTCTGCCCTCTTTTCTTCTGTCGTCCATATCCACCCACCTGGATTCCCCCATTTTCTATCTCTCATCCCCCATCCCTTGCCCCTCAAAACTTTGTTCTTAGGTTGATTTTGCATGAAAGTTCTCTAGGTCTAACTCTCACAAAGGGTATGTCCCAGGAGGTGAGCGGTCCATATCTGCACAGTGGTTGTGCTGGCCTCTGGCCATATGTGGCTACTGAGCACTTAGGATGTGTCTAATGAAACTGAGAAAAAACTTGATGTATTTTCCTTTTTTTTTTTTTTTTTAATGTGTATTTTTGAGAGAGAGAAAGAAAGAGAACAAGTGGAGGAGGGAGAGAGGGGAACAGAGGATCTGAAGCTGGCTCTGTGCTGACAGCAGAGAGCCTGATACAGGACCTGAACTCTCAAACCATGAGATGACCTTAGCCAAAGACACTTAACCAGCTGAGCCACCGAGGTGCCCCTGATTTATTTTACTTTAATCACTGTAAATTTAAAAGCTGATAATTGATTCAGTTATTTGGAAAACTTTTAAGTGTGTTTGGAGCAACTCCTGGCATGTGAATCTGCTTTTTAACTGTAATTTTGTCAAATCTAAATACAGATCAAATATTTTCAATGAAAGTTCAGCATCTGAATCAAGATGTGGTGTAAATGTAAAAATACACTCTAGGTTTCAAAGACTTACTACAGGAAAAAAGAATGAAAATAACCTCATATCAAAATATTGATTACAAAGTGTAGTGTTTTGGACCCACTTTTTTCCTTTTGGGAGGTGTGGCTACTGTGAATGTTCATGTGTCTTGCATTATGTTGTCTTGTATTCTGTTGGGCTTTGTGCTCCAGAATGTCCATATAGCTGGATTTACAAGAGGAGGTAATGGCCAACCTGAAGAAGGACTTGAGTGTCACCTGGCATCCCATGGCTCTTGCCACCTCACATCCCTGATCATCAACCCTGATGAATCTTTTTTTTTTTTTTTTTTTTTTTTTCAACGTTTATTTATTTTGGGAGAGACAGAGCAATAAACGGGAGAGGAGAGAGACTTTCAGAATGAAAGAAGGCTCCAGGCCTCTCGGAGCCAACAGCCCAGAGTCGACGCTGGGCTCAACACGGACTGACCGCCGCAGATCGTGACCTGGCTGAAGTCGGACGCTTAACCGACTGCGCCACCCAGGCGCCCCAACCCTGATGAATCTTGAGTTCAGGGAATGGGGAGAGAGGCTATGGAGAGACGAGGGAGATGATTTCTGTTGCTCACCCCAGCCTCCCCTCCCCTGTCGCCCCAGCCCCAATGGGAATGAGAGTCACAGGCACTCTGTGTATGCCTCGCTTCACCTGTCCTCACCCCAGAAGGATGCTAAAGGGGTCAAACTGAAGAATCCCTGTGTTCTGACCAAGAGACCATCAGAACCTGGAGGGGTTTATGGTGTTTCTATTCGAAAGCTGGGTCCACTGTTTTTTATCACCTACTGGAGCAAAATTATCCTTGGACAGTTCATCTATTTCCATCCTTGGACAACTAAAGTGAAGACTGGAAGCTTTTCTAAATAACTCAAACAATTTTGTAACCGGTACAAGACTGCCTCTTTTAGCAAACCAGAATATGAAATCTGGAATTAGATAAAAATTATATGGAAGGCGATAGCATGTTTTGAAAAAAAAATCCAAAATAGGTAGCAGGCAAGCTAAAGCGGCTACCAACCTACTAAGTGCAGTAGCTACTAAGACCCATTCTCTATATTCATGTCACTTTGGTTAGGAATGCCTCCCTCTTTCCATCCATCTGTTCAAATGTGACGTATTCTTTAAGGCACTGCTCAGATACCCGCTTCTCTCTGAGCGTTTCCCTGATTATTCTAAACTTCCCAGCTGTACTCCCTAAGCAGCTGTGTGATCCTAGGACTTTACTGCACATACCATAGGCCTCCTTCCTTAGTAAAATGATTAAATGCATCGGTGTATTTTCCTTTGGAGCCGGGTTCTAAGACCTGGATGCAGGTGACATCATTATGATCAGTTACGTGTCACCATAGACCAGGAACTACAAAGTGCTTTGCCAACAGTAATGCTTAGCCTCACCTCCAAAAAATCAGCCTGATGTGAAAAACATTTTATTTATAATTTCTCGTATTTATAGTATAGGTCTTCATTACAATCATTCTTACAATAAATACAGAAGTGCTAAACGTCATCATCACAGTGGCCCATGATCCATCCATGGCACAGGAATGGAGGGGTGCTGCAGACCCCACTGCTCCCCAGCGGTGCTCAGGAGGACTTCAGAGAGTTTAGCAAAGGGGAGAAGAATCTAAGGTCTGAACTTGAAATAGGGTTAATAGTCAATGCAGCAAAATCCTAGAATGTCTATTAAGGAAACAAGTATAAGTTACTGTTTTTACCAGATGGCACTAAAGAAACAGAATACAGAAACTCAGGTTATCCGTTGGTGAAGCAAAGAAGCCAGGGCCTTCCGTGTGTCCCTTTCCCAGTCTGTGCCTGGTTTTTGTGATCTCTGCCTGCTGTGCACCCAGCACAGCACCGGGGCCCTCCACCAGGTGCATGGGAGACAGAAGAGCGTCACACACCACAGTCTGGGTTCCTGTAGTGGCCACTGGTGTCAGTGGAAGGAGGGAGAATCTGAAGAAAGGCTTCCCAATTCCAAAGCTGCTGGGTCCTCAGAGGTCCCATAATGATTCACATGGAAGTTGACAGTGTTGATTCTTGGAGCCTTCTGCCTGCCTCCCTAGTGTTGCTTTATCTCAGCCACAGGGCAGGAAAAATGCCAGTTTTCACGGCTCAGTAGATCTCCCTTTCGTTGAGCAGCTGTCATGCCAGGTATGATGATCTCTTTGTTCTCTTACAAAATTTGTTCATAAAAGGTATAGAGAGACATTCCCATGGCTCTGGAGTGGTTTATGTTGGTTTCTGATAGACAACTTTGGGCCAAGGCCAAGAAAGCATCCCCTAAGTCACATTGCTCTGTCATGAGGGCTGTCCCTACTGTCATTTGATCAGCATCAGGCATGCTAATGGCAAGGTTGGGATGCTGCTCCAGGCTCCAAAGCTGTCAGAGTTCTCATCCACACACATCTGAGTGTCCATTAGGTCTTTCATAACTTTGTTTAGCAAACTAGCTACAAAGCCACGGGGCTTGCCATCGCTACAAAAAGTCATGACAGTAGAAAAGGGAAAAGACTTCTCAGAGTCAGAGAGAGGAGTAGAAGGAAAAAGATGTTATAAAGAAATCTGTGCTTTGATAGGACATTCCATGCTGTCAAAATGAGACCAGGAATCAGAAAGCTGTCTGTGAACTGCAAGGTGCTGGCCATGAGAGGTTGGTGCTGGAAGCTCCTTCTCAGTCATGGAACTAACTGATCTCCATGGGGCTCTTAACATCTAGGAAAGAGTTAAGTCTTTTCAGAAACTGCGACTTGAGTGGAAGACCATGAAGAATCTTTGTAACATTCCATTATTATTGGTCCCTAAATACCGTGGTGCCCCCACCCTGCACAGGTAACTTCCCGCTTTCATAGCTCGAAAACAGATTTTAACCAAGCCCCCCCCCCCCCGATTTTAACTCAATATCCCCCAAGTCAGGGAAGTAAGAAGTCCCCATTCCATCCAGCTAGGCACTAGAGATACCACAGAAGTGGCAGAAATGAAATTTGGGCAAACGAGATGAAGCTCTTCAATCGTTTTGCATCTGCCTGTTTCCTGTAGAGTCAAAAGCAGTTTGGGTCATCTCAGAACTCATGTCTAGGAGAGAGAAAGCAACAACACATTTTCAAGGAATAGCCTAATCATGTATAAAGTGTGTGGAGTACAAAGCATAAGTGCCCCACTGACAGGAGTCTGGGCTTGACCTTAATATTCTGTCCTTCTCACACTTACGGCTTGACAGACAACTTCTGACTCCAAAGTGAGGTTCCTCCAGACCTTAGGTGTCTTCTCATTCTCTCCCTCTCAGGTCCCTTCGCTACATTTGAACCAAAGTACAGGACTTTGGAAATGCCTCTACTGTGTTTCAAAGAATCTCTCTTGTTTTCTTTTGTCTCTGATACCTTGACCCTTCCTGAATCATTCTTCCTTCCAATTGTAAGGTCAGACCAAAGCTTTTGTCATAGCAGGAGGAAATCAGAGGAGAACAACAACCCCTTCCCTGAGGAAAGAAACTGAGTCTCAAAAGCAAATCCTAAGCAGAGAGTGCACATCCAGGTCTGAAAGCTTCGACAAGAAGCAGGATTTCCAGGATCCTTGAAATCACACTCAGGTGAATCCCTGGGTCAGAATGTTTTACAGTCACTAACAGCCCCCAGTGAGTGACCTGGCTTGTGCCCCCAGAATCCAGACAACTTAATGGTCCACACAGCTGAAGAAGACTCAGAGTTTCTGCCTCCTTGGTGAGTTATTCCCATCCATGCATCGCACTGGCCGGTGGCCGTGGCATCAGGATGGCAGGGCACCCACCAAGAAGCGCCCCCATGGGTCTGGAGTGTTTGTGGGTTGAGCGTCAGAGAACCTCAGGTATTTCAAGTGTCTAGGGAGCCACATTGTGTAGAGTCCAAACCAGAGTCCTTCCTTGGACGTGCCTGGGAGTTCTGGGGCCTCAGGCATGAGCTTCGGTCTCCTTCTTGATGGCCGGTTTGTAAATGACTCCTTTGTTGTCACCTTTTTTACTACTGGAACAGGAAGAACACACGTTTAGTCTCAGTTAAAGAGAAGAGACAGGCAGAGAGTAGCCTGACTCAGCTATGAAATAAGATGAATTTTAGGGGTCAGATTCCTTTCTTAGGGACCTTTCCCCAGTTCTGTCACTCTTGGGAGGAATGCCCCCAAATAAAGCATCAACCAAAAAGGAACCTCATCTGAAGAGCTTGTTTAAACGTAGACTTTTTTTGAGCCCAACCATCAGAGACTGATTCAGTCTGGAGTGGGGCCCAGGAATCTGCAACTGTTCTCTTTTAACAGCTGACAATACTAGACCTGCATTTTGAAGAAGGTCTCATGACTACCCTGACTTCAAACCTTTGATTGTGTGTAACAAAGCTCCTGGAAACTTTTGTTACAAATGCCAGAAGAAATAGATTTTATAAAAACCAAACATGACAATAAAAACATGAGCAACGGGCATTAATAGCTAATGTGAGTGATGAATCAGGTTTTCCTTCTTTTTTCTTTTGGGGTTCAGAGAAGAAAAATCAGATTTAGAACGGAGACAGCCTTGCAGCTTGTATTTAGCCAAATGGGGCCTCCCGCGCCCCAGTCGAGAGACTTGTCTCTTGTCTGAGGTGTTAGCTGGTGCAGCAAGGCTGGCAGACACACCTCCAGCTCTGAGCATAAGGATCCTTAAATGACCAGCATCTCCTGCAGAGGATGCGAGGGGCAATTGTGTTCTGGAAACAGCACCCGTAGGATAAGTGTTGGAACGGGTGACAGGGGCCCTTCGTTCTGCAGGCTGCCTTTCCAGACAGATCAGTCCTCATGGACAAATAAGCTACCCACTGTCATTTAGAACCAAAACCAGCTCCTACCTCTTCTTTCTTCTGAAAAGCCAAATGGACACTGCCAGGACAACGCAGATGCCAAGAACGCCAGCCAGGGCCACTGAAAGGATGATGCCTGGTGAAGAGGCAATGAACACAAATTACCTTCCTCCCTTCCCCTGCGTCTCATCCCATGGCACATGGATGTGAAGTCATGTGACAGCTGTATAATCTGCCACAGAAAGGTGTCATTTCCCTATTTCTGTTCTCAGGTTCTGGTCTTTGGCTCAGCAGAACTGGCTGGAGTACTTGGGGGGGGGGCGGCATTTGCAAACTGTAGTGACTCTTCAAGGGTTCTCAAACTTATACCAGGATCATCTGAAGAGCTTGTTTAAATGTAGACTTTTTTTGAGCCCAACCATCAGAGACTGATTCAGTCTGGAGTGGGGCCCAGGAATCTGCATTTTTACCAAACAAACAGCTCTAGCTGATGCTGATGTAAATGGTTCATGAACCATACTTTGAGAAAACCTGAGCTACAGAATAAGAACTTACTCTGTCTTTGTTTGCTGGATTTAAGGCCCATTGGATGCCTCTATTGGCTTTTCCCCCAAGCTCCATTGCACAGTCCTAAGCAGTCCAAGACAACCAGGGGTCCATTGCCAAGATCACTTAGCCAGTCACCCAACCTCCACACTGGTCTCGGGCATGTTTTTTTTCAGACAATGGCTTCCCACCATGGCCAGCAGGTCTTGGATAGCTCGTTGAATGTACACATGCTATAGAGTGATTAGGTCTTTCATTAGGGAAGCATTTGATTGGTGGTTCATCTTTGAATCACAGAGTGACCTGAAGGTAAGACCCACAGCAAGGAGAGGACCGGGAGCCAGAGCAACAGCACAGAGAAGCAGGGAGATTGGGCTGGAAGTATCACAGGCCCAAATCACACCAAGAATCACAGAGATCACCCAGCTGCAGCATGCAAGGCCGGCAGGCCACATACCCAGACTCAGTCCTGTGTAGGTAAGGTCTTGCACTTCAAAGGGGAGAGGAAAAGGTTGAAAATTAACCAAGTCAAACCATGGTGGATTTGACCAGTGTGCTGAACATTTGGTTGGAAGTACAGGACTCATACAGACTTTCTGAGAGTATTCATTCTTGACTCAGGTGCCTGATGTATAGAGGGAATTGCCCACCTTGGGAGTTCACACTGTGATCCTCCTTTCCAATTTTTGTCACAGCAGTCTTTTTGCTAGGGCAAGACTTCAGTTTTTAGTCCAACATGGCTAGAGTGGAACATAAGGAAGGGTAAGGATCAGAGTCTCCTTGGGCAGGCTATTATCTGCTGCTTGGATACCTATCCCTCTTCATCTGTAAGGAATCTTCCAGGTTCTGGCTGTCTGGGGCTGGCAGGGCTTAGCTGGAGCCTGTGGCTAGACTTCTGCTCCATCCCTGTCTAGTCCTGTTACCATGATTTGGTTTTGTTTTTGCTTTGGCCCCACTGGGCAAACTGGAGATACCCCTCCCTGATACTAGCCTCCCTTCTCTGATGTGGAACAAGAAGATTATGGCTTCTCTTAGTGAGTTCCTTTGGGGGTAAGTTAGGAGTCTTCAATGGGGCTGAAATAGTGCCCAGCTATCTAAAATAAAATCCCATAGTCAGCCTCCTAGGGACCTCCCTGGGGGAGGGTAATGGGTGAGCCCATCTTTTTGAGTAAGACAGTGGTGCCCAGTCATGAAGCTCCCCTGGGTAACCCCAGCATGCTCCTTCCAGGTTCTTAGAATTACTCCCCATTCTCCCAATCAGGTCCTGCATCTAAAGAAAGTCTCTGTTACACATACCCTCTTGTCTGGTGGTTTTCTGACCTTAGCAGAAACTTCTAGCATATGTGTGTATGTGCGTGTGGGTGCTTGTTCCAGTTCACATTGGAAGCCAGAGTTGTGCTCGGAGTTGTGGCCACCCAGCGTGACACTCAGGAGAGCCTGTGCCCACGGAGCCCACTCTGAGACTCAGACCTTGGGAGAGCCCTGGCCAGTTGTGAGGTGTCAGCAGAGGGCCAGGGACTCAGACTTGGGGGCACTTGACACCCTGGGGAACCAGACCCGAGACTGCAGGATGAGGGTTTTTTTGTTCACTCCCTTCTCCTGTTATGTGGCCAGAGTCTGGTTGATTCCCCCGGAGCCATCAGCCCTGTGTCTTTTCCCGGCTGTCCTCTTCCACAGTCTCACACTGACCCTGCAGCCTCCCTCATCCAAGGCTGGCCCCTAGGAGTCTCTGGTCTGGCCGCCCCAGGTGGCCCGAGGCTGTTGTCAGAATAAGCAGAGCCGGTATAGAGAGGAGCTATCCACAAAGTACAGGGTGGCCTGTTCTCTTGGCTCTTGCTAGCCATCAGCAGCCCATGGCCTCCCAAGTGGCAGAGAGAGTGTGGCTACGATGGCCTGATTCCCTGCTCCAAGTCTCTTCTTGTAACCTGAATACAAGGACCAGTCTGTGGCTTAGGGAGACACTCAGGATATGAGTCTCCCCTGAGGAGAGTGTCCAGATGTCTGTGGTACCAAACTAGTTCTCGCCACATAAGACCATCACTAGTAAGCCTAACCACTGGCTAAGCCGCCCCAACTGAACAGTTTCTAAAGTCGTTGCTTTCACAGTCACCTCAAACATCCTTGGGAAACACACAGGGCCCCGGACAGCTGAGCAGCCCCACTCCAGACTGTAGGGGGCACCCCCAGGGAGCTTGGGGAGCAGAGCCAAGTCTACAGAAGCAAGGCCCCCAGAGATGGGACTTTTCTCAAGAGTCCATGGCCCAAGTTGATGTCTTATCTGGAAGGAAATCTGGCTGCCCTTGGCTGTATTAGGCCCTGTAAACAACAGCCTAATTTAATCCAGGGCTCTAACCAGGGTTCCTTGCTCCTGGATGACCACTTGTGAGGGCCTAAATTGCCTTTCTGTGGAAATAATGAAATGAGCAAGCAGCCACAAAGGCAAAGTAAGCCCCGGAGACTGGGACAGATGCTTTTCAGCCAAGACTTTGATGCAGCAAAGACAAAGCGGCTTGACTGAGCAAGTGAAAAGTGTAAGCCACTATGGAAGAGGAATGGTAGTGAGGGTGTCACCCCCCAAGAATTCCACCCCCAGGGGAGTCCAGGGCAGGAAGATGTTGTTGGGATGCTACCCCCTGCCAGTTGAGACAGCACCAACCATCCAGGAAGCGGGACTTCTCTGCAGAGCCAGATGAAGTCCACAGGGCTTGGGGCCTCCTGGAAGCAGCTGCTAAAGCATCTGCTAATTAACAGGAGAGGGGAAAGTCAGGGAGACTTTGGGGGCACAGGGAAAATTCTTGGGGCAACTGAAGTAGAGCCCAGAGAGAAAAGCCAAAGCCTGCATCAAGCAGAGCCTGTGCGATGGTGTAGAGAATAGGGAACACAGTTGATGATGGGAGGGACACAGCCAGAGAAGTTCATCTGCCGATTAAACAAAGAAATGGATTGGTTTCTATATGGCGACTAACACAGGCAGTTCCCACTGAAGCACAGTGAGACAGGAGAAACAGAGACAGGCTGCTTGACGGAGATGGCCCACAAGAGCTACTGCATGAGAACACGACGAAGGGGCTTCCGAGCTGGTTGGTTAAGAGGGTGCATGCCATACAGATGTGAGAGCTATCTGCTATCTAGAAAGTGCTCTGGTACGGATCAGGGTGAGCAAAGATAGGGCAGTATGACACAGAGAATGAAATCACACAGATACAGAAGAATCCGGTTGTCACATGCCTCCCCCAGGAGGGTACAGATCCCAGAGAAGGCAGACAAGCTGATTGCCACAGGGGCGCTGCTACCTGTTGTTGCTGGCTCAGGAGCTGGATCTTCCACTGGTATCTCGCTGGACCGAGGGATGCTGGTTAACTGCTTTTGAGGTCTTCTGAAGCCTCAAGTGCAGACACAGAAAAGCCCAGCAGAAGGAACAAGCCCCTCGTTCACACAGCTTGCCGTTCCTGGAACAACTCTAACATTTTCGAGATCTATTTGCAATTCTGTTTATTCAAACAGAATTTTAAATAAAGAGGAATACAATCCTTATTGTTATTCCTTTCAAAATGTTATTTTAGGGGCGCCCGGGTGGCTCAATCGGTTGAGCATGCAACTCTTGATTTCGGCTCAGGTCATGATCTCACAGTTTGTGGGATCGAGCCCTGTGTCAGGCTCTGTGCTGATAGCATGGAGCCTGCTTGGGATTCTCTCTCCCCCACTCTCACTGCCTCTCCCTCGGTCATGCTTGTTCTCTCTCTCAAAATAAATAAACATTAAAAAAATATTAAAGTATAGCCTATTTTGGTAAGTGACATTTTACATAGTTACATACACGTGTATACATATGTATATGCCTCTTTAGCAGTCTCCAGTCTTATAAAAGAGACAAGAAGAGCTTTGGCTTAGCAGGGATTTGATAGTTTAAATACATAAAATCCAGTTTGAGATGATAAAAGCTCTTATTATTATGCTTAATACAGGTCATAGAGTGAAGTAACTGAAATGCTAGTCCTCTCTTTGGATGATGCTTTGGTAAGACAAGCAAGGAAGATGCCCTCAGTGACTACAGAACATAGCTATCTTTGGAGAACATATTTAACTGGAGGACTTTTTTATTGACACTATGGAACCCCAAAAAGAAATAATTTCTACAGATCTGCCAAAAGGATGCCACCACATTACATCAGGGTGCTGGTTTTCTACAACCATGATAGGGACTGAGGGCTTTGCCCTCCAGATGGCAGGATTGTAGGCCCAGGACAGAAAGCCACACATTGCTCTGAGGGGCCTGAATCCCGGGGCAGTAGGCGTGGGTTCCAATCCCAGCACTGGGGGTTTAGTGCGCTCCGCTCCCATCAGTGGCCAGGCACAGGCTGTCTGTGCTGAAGGAATGGTAGGTGGTGGCACAGGGGCGTCTTACTCCTTTCAGGCCAGAGCAACAGAAAAAGCCTGACAGCATCCCTAGGCGACTCTCTCCTAAGACTTTGAAACTTGCCGGCTAAGTTCTGATCTTTAAGGCTTCTTAAACCAATGGATTGATTTGAATGCCTGTTGGCAACCTGAAACAAAGCAAAAGAAGACTTGAAACTAAAAGGTGACCCCTGGCCAGGCTTATGTTCAAATCATTCTGCAGAGAAGAGCCTGGGGAGGGGAGCGGAAGGGAGCTGGCTTGGTTATATCCTCTCAAACTTGTAATGAGCACCAGGCACGATGCCTGCCACAAAAGTGAGTCCCTGTCCTTAGGGTCTTGGAGTGTGTGGATAATCTAGACATTGTTTTTCTTTTTCTGTACAGCAGTAAATCATTATCCTGCGCTATGCTAAGAACCATAACAGAGATGAACGGGTTGTTCCAGCCGCATTGAAAGAGACTGTAAGTCACCTTCAGGGGAACAGGGAAGATTTCTGGCATGACATTAGAGTGGGGTCGTGAAAGAATTTTCCAGGTGGAAAGCTGAGGGGCATCGCCGGCAAAGGGAGTCGTGTGCAAAAGTAAATCATGTGCACATGTAAAAGCAGTGCCTTGCTAAGGGAGGCCCCGCAGGGCGTGGACGGGTGCCAGGGGGAGAAATGCCGGAAAGATAGCTGGGGCCACCTTGCCGTGGGTGGGTCCAGCTTTCTGACTTTCCACCTGGTCTGCCCTGTGCCAGAGGCTTGTTTTTAAGGAGCAAGAGAACATCCACAGTGAGGTTTTTGTTCTCCATAATGCTCGGCTTGGGGTATGCTGAGGAAACATGTGGTGTGTTGAATTGCACTAGATGAAGGGACTAGGGACTTTGTAGCACATTTGACAATTACTCCTGACTGTTCAGCCCCCTGGATCCAGGGGAATTGGAAGGTGGGAACCCCTCTGTCTTTCATTTGGATGTCTCAGTAGACTTGATACTTTCCATCTAATAGTTTTTATTTAAAAATAGGAACTTTTAGAAACAAGAGGTCAATAACCACAAAGCATACAGTCTAGTCTCAAAAAGTAGATAATTAGCCATCTTAGCTTTGTAAGAGTTTTTCCTCTTTTTAAAGGTTTTATAAAACTCCCCAGGTCTCTAAGGGTCAAGCGGATTCTAATCGTGCGACTCCACAGATTTAGCACGGGTCAAAGCCCTGCCCCACTACTGTCCAGCGCTCTTGTCTAAGAGTGCCTCAGCTGGCTCTGGGCTCTGCAGTGGGGAACATGCAGTTGCTCAGCGAAAGCCCACTAACGCATGATTATAGAAACTCTTTGGCTTCCCCTTGTCCCTCGAGTGTCCCTGGCCCTGGTACATTAAAAATAGGACTAGATAACATTAGCATTTGGGTTCTATAGGCTCTTGCTTTATTACCCACCACCGTCAGGACCCAGTGTTGCTATCTTTAGCTTGGAAGAGGTCAACGTGAAGGAACTAAGAATCAGGCGCCTGGGCTGTAAATCTGCCCGTGCCATCTTTCTCCTTCTTCACAGAGGGCATCTGACTCCTGTGAGATCTGGTCTGGCCACAGGATGTCTCCCCCCTCTCTGGGGTCCCACCTTGAGGGCAATGACTCTTGTCTCCCCTCTTCAGCTCAAGTCCTCCATTTGTACCCCTTGGAAGAGGCACTTTCACAAGAGCTTAAAAAAAAAGTGCCTGACATGACTTTCACCTCTCCATAAAGAGTGGTCATTTTAACTAAAGGCAACAAGAAACACAACACACATGAGAGAAAAAATGGTATAAAAGCGAGGGAGAAAAATGATAACGAGTTTCCGAAGCAAATTGCTGCCTCGGAGGCATCTGGAGCCCTGATAAAGGGGTTTGTATGCTTCTCTTAAGGGTGGATAGTTCTCGCCTGTCCACTTCTCTTGGCCTTGGACATAGCCAATTATACAAAAAGCAAGTATATTCAAATTCTAAAGGAAGGTAGGGAAGAGGGTTTCTCTTGAGTTTGGTTGTTCTACCTTAGTAACCCAACAACCTTTCGGTTTCAAGGGTAGCCATCACCAGTTTGAAAATGTCATGCTGTAATAGAGGAAAGACCAGAGCATATGATAGAAAACTCCAGAATCCTGTCATATAAGTGAAAAAAAAAAAAAAATCAGCATGGGCCTAGGAAATTCATCATGTAATTCCTGGGTACTGGTTCTCAATTTTGCCCCTCATGCCCTGGAGACATTTGGCAATGTCTGGAGACATTTTTGGCATTCAAAAGTGGGGGGATGCTATAGGCATCTAGTGGGGAGAGGGCAATGCAATGCACAGGACAGCCCCCAGTGAGAATTATCCAGACCAAAATGTCAATAGCACCAAGGTTAAGAAACCCTGCCCTAGGGCTAAATCATAGACTACCCCTTAAGGACAGATTACTACCTCATAAGGACAGAAATTAAGTTCTTTATTCCTTTTCTAAGCACAGTTGAGGAAGCATGGTAAAGTTAAATGATTTAGTCCCAGTTGTTCCAATTTGGTTAAACCTCAGAGCCTACTCTCAAAGTCCTTGCACTTTCTCTCCTAGAGGATTTCCTTAACATCACTTTTCTCCTGGCTCAATGTTCCAACTCCATAGTTCCTGTTAACTTCCAGAGAAAGCTCTGAATAAATCAGGCCCTAATTACAAGTTTGCCTTAATGGAAGTTTACAGATAATTCAGCACAATTGCTAAAGGTTCACACTGACACACACTCACTCCATAAACCTGAAATGGCATGTTATGGTCTGAGGCCCCTCCAAGTTGGTGTGAGAGCCCTTCATAAATGCAGGTGCCCCCGGGGGGGGGGGTGAGGTTTGGGGCGTCTCTCCTTTGTGGCCGCCCTCCCCATTGTTCCTTGGGAAACAGCCCCAGTAGCTGCCTGTGTCTTCGAGAAGTGGGAGGGGACAATTCTAGCCAAGTTTCTATAATCAGCCTCCAAATGAACAGGTTTGCCTTGGACTGCCAGGGTTTCTCACTCCAAGGGGAGAGCTGAGCACAGCCTGGGCTCTTGGAAGCAACAGTTCTGGGTGAGCCGTGCAGGAATGGCAGTGGCAAAGATGCATTTGGGCTTTGATCTTGATGCCCTGAGCTTGGAGTTTGTCTCCAGGCTTCTGCTAAGAGGCCCCTCAAGCTCCCCAGCCAGACTGGGAGAGTCTACTGAAGCGCTCTGCTACAAGCCTGACTGCACTGCCCACTCTGTGAGGGCCAACTTAGACCTGAGCTGGTCTAAGAAGATGGCTAATTATTCCCAGTGCCATAGTCCATTGTTACAAGTGGAGGTTACTTTGGGATGTCAGACTCAAGTTCCTGTGTGGTTTCTTCTGATCCTTTGTAACTGCCCTCAAACACTGTCCCTGCAACGTAAAGTCAGGATGGGCAGTTGTTAGTATCCACTTCGAATCCTATAGCATGTTAACGTTGAAAGGACATTAGCTCACCTTGTCCAACCTATCATTTTATGGCTAAGGAAACCAAGGCCAAAGAAAGGACATGATTTGCTTACATCATACAGCAGGGAGGAAACAAATTGAGGCCTTGAACCTAGGTCTTCTGACTGCAGGGGGAGTCTTTATGACCGTATCCCCTGTGACTTATATAGACCAATCCAGAGAAGAGATCTGATTATTATCTTGAATCACAAATAAGATCTACCTTATCTACGTGGGCCAAGTCCCTTATCTCCAGGTAGTTTTTTTGTTTTGTATTTTATTGAAGAGTTGAAGTATTTTCCATTTACCCTTGACTACTACTCCATTTAGAGGAATGGGAAAAGAGAAATTTATATCCAAACTAGATCACAAAGGGATGATCTGTACATTTGAGGCGTTTTCCTAGAAAAGAAGTTGACAGTCATCATCATATATGTTCTCTGTGTTTAAGAAGGACTATTGTTCACAGATGACGTTTTCAGACCAGGAAACTGAGAAAAAGAGAGAAACTACCTTAACCAGTGGTGTGTGGCAAGGAGCGCACAAAAGATAAATTCTTGGGCAGGTCTGATTAAGTGATTGACAGGACATAATTCTGATCATATATATGGGTCAGTGCAAAAGGGCGTGTTTCTAAAGCTTTCTGGCAAGGGCCCTGAAATACTATCTTCCTATGTTTAAGCTTAGTCAGTGGTAGTTATAATCTCACACAATAACAAAGGAACAAGAAGGTGAGACAAGGAGAACTGAGTCTCGGACAAGTGGGTTAATGGGGTCATCTTTAGATATGAACACCTGGCCCAGTTCCATCACAAGTGACATAAGGAGAAAAAGTGGAACTTGCACAGACCTACCTGTTTCTGACCATGAGATTCCCGTGTTGGGAGTGGCCCAAGAGTCTACGGCGAGAAAGTGAACTTGGAGGTTTGAAGAAGGTTGTGGACCCCCAGGGTGCTCTCTTACCTGTTTCCCTGAACCCCCAGCTTCCAACAGTATTGACAGGGGTATTGAACAAGTAAAGATGTTAAATGTCCTTCTGGGGAGTTATGGTTACAGATTTAAGAGGAAGAACGGAGCCTTCATAGCATTAGGAATAAACCAAACTATTCAGCTTCATTCAGTATAGCTCCTGTGTGTGTGTGCTTAGGCAAGCTTAAGGAGATGAGACAAAAAGGCAGTGAATGCAGACGCTTTCTTGCCTGATGGGTCCTGCTACATCAGACCATGAGCTACTTATGCCCACAAATGTGGATTATGCCCACGCTCTGAAAGCTTAACGAAGGAGCATCCCTGGACGTTGGTGATGGTGATGGTGCTATGAATCACCTGGTGAGGCTGAAGATGGGCCTTGATGCCAAGAAAGCCTACGGCAAGAAGTTAGGAGTTTGTCTTGTGAAAACAGTCCTACCATGTGTCTTAGGAGACGTAGTTCTCTGACAGAGAGGACCCCAGAACATCCTCTCTTCCCCATCTGTGAGAGACTCCCAGACTTAATGGGGGCTCCGGTCCAGGCACCTAGAAGCCCTGGCTGGTGCTTCCCTGCAAAGGCTCAGGGAAGTCAAGAGCAGTGGAGGGAGACCTCAGTAAACCCACACACAATAGCTTCTTGCATACTTGGTTCCCTTGGCAGCCAGAGTGCTCTGAACCCACCCCCTAAGGGTATCAGTGACAAAGCCCGAGGGTAGGGCACCCGACTGCAGATAAAATGGGTGTCCTGGCACCATACGCCCCCACACACCGCGTCTTCTCACCTTGTCGGAAAGAGATATACACCAGTCTCTCATCAAAGTTCTGGACCCGCCGGAAATTGTTGACCATCTCTCTGGGGGATGGGTCATCCACATGTGTGCAGTACAGAGCAGTCTCCAAAGCTAGCAGCTGCAAGGCAGGAACACACCCCATGGGCAAAGTGATGCTCCCTTGCCTGACCTCAGTGGGGAGGAGAACTCTGGGGCTTGGCAGGAGGCACGTCAGAAAGCAGTGGGAAAGCCAGATAACTGTTTCCCCTCCCTCGCAGGCGTCTGGTTGCCTGGACACCGGGTGAGCTGGTCTGTCACCATCTCCCAAGGCTTGGGGGGAGGTTACAGCTCTTAGCTGCTGGGTGGTGGAGGGGCTCCTCAGCCTCTCACAGGCCTGATTTGCAACCCGACTCTAAATCAGAGGGGCTTGGGGCTTATTCTGGTGGTCCCATCACAAGGAACAAAAAGAGGGAGGCAAGAGTTTCTCAGTTCCTCTGACCACTGGTTCCATGGAATTTTCGTACACCCACATAGATTATATAATCTGTTTCCAAGGCAGCTTCTAGGTTACTGCTTCCCTGAACATTTCATCTCTTGATTCATCACATCTCTATTCCTGTCCGCCCACCTGCTGCCATTTATCTACATTACTCAGATCAGTAGCTCATAGTAAAAAGAACGACCAACAGTGAGGGCCTTACTGGTCAGGAAGAGGGGTTGGGGGTGGGACGGGCCATGAGCCAGTGTGCAGCACTGCCCCTGGCCCTGTCTCCTGGACAGTCACTTTTCTTCTTGATGAATTTCAACTGTGGAGTAGGGGATGGGCAGCGACTAGCAACCCCAATCTGACTTTGGGGCTTTGTCTCCAACCAGCAGGCGATCCCACAAGCTCCCTCAACTGTCTATCCCTCACTTTCATCATCTGTAAGATGAGAAGGTTGGAGATGATTGCTGAGGCTTCTGTCCCCTAGTTTTGCACTAGACTTTGAGCTTCTTGAGAACAGAGACCATTGCCTACTCACTGCCGCAGTCCCAGCGCTCTGGTTGGTTAGACCATCGAAACTGGGTCTGTCCTTATTCTGCCCTGTAAAGGAACCATGCTCGCTCCACCATGGAGGCAAATACTATGCAGCCACTGAGGGGTATATTAGGAAATGCAGCCTAACGACTTGCTTGTAAGGAATTGTGGAGATGGGTCCATTTTTCAAGCTTGACTTGATAACTCTGTTTTTGAAGCTCGGCCTGTAATTTTTGCAGTGCGTCCAGGAACCTGCACTATTTGGAGAGGTTTTGCACAGCTGTCAGTGAAACTCTAAGTGAGGAAATCAAGTTGTTATGATATTGGGTGATGGTAGAGACAGAGGTGCCACATGGCCTCTGACTCAGAAGAGCACGACAGTTACCTGCTCCTGGGAAATTTGCACAGGGTTCCGGAAAACCGTCCAGAGCACTGTGGGGTGGCAAGGAGGTGTGGTCAGGGAGCCTTTGTAGCGGTAGTATTCGTCAGGCCTCTCAGGAAGCAGCTCTTCAATGCTGAAACCCGGAATGAGCACTTCTTGGCCTGGAGAGACATATTGGGGAGATGGTGTCCGCCTTTCTCCCCATGGCAGAGGTGCTGCTGGGCATGCGACTGAGCCTAGAAATGTGAACAGCACCTGCCCCCTGCATTCATTTTTCTTCAGGTCACATGGGGGTGACTGTATTCTCCTCTCTAGGGGTAGATAAGCATCCAAGAACCCCTTACCTTTGTATTTGACATCTTGAAGGTGCCTGAAGATCTTGTCATAAGATGGATTGAAGGAACCCATCTGCAACATAGATGGGGCAGGTTGAACTAGGACAGAATTATATAGGCTGAGCCTGGTGTAACAGTTGCTAATGGAAGGACTCGACTAGGGTATATAGTCACCACTGCCAAGGTCCTCCCTGAAGGATTCACTTTACTAGGACAATTATGAAGGATCGCTAGCCTGTTACAGAACGAGGGTGATGGTCCTGTCCTCTTGCATCTCAGGACGCGAGGCACTGAGCCCTCAGGGCACTGGGGCTTGAGCGTAGCAAGGCAAAGAATATAGCCTGTGCTCCTGGCGATCAGGCTTTGAGTCTGAAAGCCACAACTAGCATGTTTTCTAACCAGAACTCAAGGGAGATGTAGTACGTACAAGCCAAGTCAGGCAAGTAAGCATGTCGAAAAACGAGGTACTTGTCTTATTAGGGAAATACATGCAAGCGAATCAGGAAACATTCCCATTTGGGGGATTAAGGAAAGAGCTCACTCCAGGGTCTATAGAAAGACTGCAACTTGGATGTTAGGAGTTGTGTAAGGGATTCGACACCTGATGAGGCAGTGCTGAATGATCCCCACCCCCCAACCCCATACACACAGGGCCTGCCTCGCTGGACAATTCCAAGCTTTATACATTAGGGCTAGCAACTAGGGCTCATTTTCTCCAGTCTTCCAAAGGACATGCCCATTTCTGCTGCCCAGCTACACAAAGTGCTGCCTCCTGGCCAAAAGACAAGGTCCCTTATGGGGGCATTCCTCTGGTTCTAGAGGCAAGACACAGCCAAAATGAGAGTGAGCCACACACATCCAACGGACAGGCAATTCAGGGACCAAATGCCGAGTGTGATACCATCCTGGCTTCAAATTTCATGTAAAACCCCTTTCAACATCTCTTACCTCTATGAGAACAGCTAGGACGGCGAGGCCTTCTGACTTGTTACTGGCGGTGCTGGCGTTGGCATACAGGTCCGAGTTATAATGGACAATATGCAGCTGCAGTGGAAGGAAAGCTGCTCACCACGGGTGGGCGACTCATGGGAACCTTTTGCTTTTGCAGGGGGTGGACACATGTTTATCCCTCCGGTGGAAAAAGAAATCACAGCCCGGCTTTTATACGGGTTTAATCAGCCATATTTCAAGAGGCCAAAAAAACAAGGATGTTACTCTCTGAATGTAGATTCTTAGCATTCACAAAAAAATTCTAAGCTCATTTTATCAAAGCAGGAATTACTTGTGATTATTAAAGTGAGGGAAAGAGAACGTTCTGAGAAATCTTGGGTTTCAAAAGTCTAGGTAACTGGGACGCCCAGGTGGCTCAGTCGGTTAAGCGTTCGACTTGATTTCGGCTAAGGTCTCATGGTTGTGAGATTGAGCCTCGAGTCCAGCTCTGTACTGAGTGAGGAGCCTGCTTGAGATTCTTTCTCCCTCTCCCTCTGCGCTCCCCCCCCCACAACATTGCATGCACACATGCTCTTTCTCTCTCTCTCTCAAAAAAAATAAATAAATGTCTAGGTAAGCATTAAGGTATTGTTATGATAAATTCTGACAATAGGTTGGACCTAGTTTTTAATCCAAAATGTGGTGTCTGTCACTTGTCCTCCAAAAAACTATATTAGTAGATACATCTATATATGTGACATGCATTTTTGTTGAGTCTTTGCCTCTTAAGACTGTGACACGCTGAGATTTTTTCTTTGTTCGTCTCTTTCTCCGTCTTACATGGTCATAAATGGAATTCAAGCAGATTTTACTGAATACGGCTTAATGTTCCCCACCTTTCAAGTGGCCCTTTCTAATTTTCACAAGCGACATGACATCATTTCTTTTTGTAAGTAGTCCTCGCTATGAAGGATGTAGCCCGCCGCCTTGCCCCCCACCACGTTAGCTTGGCACAGCCTTGAGAAATGGGGGATTCTGTGTGGCTGACACCCTGCAGGTCCTAGATCCGTATTTCTTTTTACAGCTGCCCTTTGAACATGCGGTCTGCTTCAGCACTTTTCTTACTGTGTTCAGATTAAACGGAGAGGAACAGAATTCCCTGCTGAAGAGATGAAGAGACTCTTCTCTATAGGACCCAGTCCAGAAGAACTGTGCACTTTCAAGGGCCCTCCACAGGGAATCTGCCACTTTCGGGTCACCTTGAAGTATTTTCTCTATTAGAGACATTTATGGCGCATCTTCACCAGGCCCTTGGTGATGATGTGGCTTCATAGCAGAAAATATAATAATGAGAAATCCATTTAAATGCCCACACTCTCCCAGCCTACACCCTAACTGCTTCTTTATTCCCCGTGTGTAGGTAGAAGTCTCCACATTGCAATTAGCCGGAAAGAAATTGCAGTCCTGGGGTTTCAGAGATGGGCCTGGTTTGAAATGCGTGCCCCTCCAAGAGTGCCGTCCTATTGGGCCAGAAATATAGGCCCTCCACACGTGTAACTCTACCTATAATTAGCCTGAGACATTAAGCAGTTCAGCAGTTAAGAACAGAGGAGAGTGGTCATGTCATTATTTACCTTGGGCTCCACTGGCTGATCAGTAGCGTTTATCTCCTTGTATTTATTGCCCTGTAAACAGTCAGAGCCACACCCCCAAGTTCTGTCCTCTGGGAGCTCTTAAGTGGAGCATCTCAAGCACGCCCACCGTACCCCCTGCACACCTATAGTGCAGGAACAATGCTCCACTCCTTCCGTTTCCTCTGGGCATTTTGGGGTAGTGCCTCAGAACGACACAACACAATGTTGTGCCGACATCCCAGACTATCTTCTTTGACTCTCTCATTGCCGTGATGTCCCGTGAATTATAATGCCAGTCTTCCCTTGGCTTGTGGCCCTGGGCCCCAAGGTTCCAAGCACAAGCCATGCCCAGGAAAAGGAAAGCTGGAGTGGGAAAGGCCTGTGCAAACAGCACGGCTTGTGAAGAAAGATGAAGAAGTTGGGGGAAGCAATTAGCCCAGTAGGATTCAGCAGCGAGATACGATACGTCAGCCAGACAAGCCGGTGGGATCCCGATCTGTGCAGGCAGAAGAGCGATGCCGACAAAAGGGGCATGTATGCCCCACTGTGCCACCCCGGGAGCATTGCCTTCTGAGCGGTGCCACTCAGTAAAGACAGAGACAAACTCCGTACGTTCAGGAGGAAGGGGACCAGGACACCGCGGAAGAACCGCGGGGGGGATGGGAGCGGCTCTGCCTTCCCTGAGTGCGTGTGTGGAGCCCGAAGGCAGCCCTTGCTTGCGCTCTGATCTTCGCTGCACACCAGCCAGGTGGAAGGGTGCCAGACCACCCACCGCCAGGCAGCCTCTGCCGGCCTGCCCGCTCCACTCACCTCAGCAGCAAAGTGCTTCCCACCGACAGTGTGCTCGGAGCCGTGAGGGTCATTCTGGTTCCCCCAGTGCAGGTGCAGCTGGGCGGCACTGTAGCGGGACCGGAGGCCCTGGATGTGCATGTCCGAGGGCAGGTTCAGCCTCACTGTGGGGAGTGGAGCCTTCAGAGCCCTGGCCAGCTGAGCACTGCCTGAGAGCAGTTAGCGATGCGACACCAGCCCGGGGCCCAGACAGGAGGCAGGTGGATGCAGTGAGTGGAGACACAGCCTGGGGCTCAGAAACCTGGGCTCTTCTCCTGAAAATGTCCCCATTTCCCTAAAGAAATTCTAGTCGCACCAGCCCCTTCTAAGCTCCCCTGGGAAAAGGATGGCAAGAGCACTAATACTAGATGGGTGGGTGTGTTTTTACATATCCACGTATTACACACCCAGCTATCAAGATAGAACCTTTAATGAAGTATCTTCCAAGCCGTAGAATAATATAACAGCAACAATAATAATTGCTATTTATGAAGCATCTTCTGTATTCCAGATCCCCAACATACATAATCTCTAGTCTTTCCGCAGTACCCATCAATATGCCCATTTTCCACGTGAAAGCTCAAGGAGGTTAATATTCTTACCCAGAGTCTCATGACTCATAAGTAGTCAAGCCAGGATTCAAATCCAGGTTTGTCTGACTCCAAAGCCTGGGCGACCCCACAGTGAGTTGCGTGCCTCCTGGAGTGTTTGCGCCAGGGAGCCCAAGGGCTCAAGCCTGTCCCC